AATGGACCGCGTTCGGGAAAACGGAGAGATTAACTCTCCATGGAAATTAAAATGTCAAAAATGAAACGAAGGATCCGTAATCGATGATCCGATGGAGTGAAATAATTTTTACGATTATGGTCGAGGCGGAATAATATATTTGTGGGGCATTCATAAGTAGCTTTTAATCGCGTGAAAAATTTCGAACAAAGTCGAGCAATTGAAAAATGCACGAACGACATTTTCGATCCGTTCTTTTTTCCCTGTAATCTCAGGCCATTGTTGGCAGGCGATTATTATTACCTTTTGACCGAATTAATAAATTATCGAAGCTTAGGATAGGATGAAATTAATTATTATCGTTAATTATTTTACTTCGAGCGAATGTTTCGTTATTTTTTGCACGAATCGATTTCTATCGATCGATAGATTCCTCTTTGAACGATATAAGAATGCATTTTCGCAATAACGGAGTTGAAGATTGGCTCCGGAAACTCTGTGTATTACTCTTCGTGCTCACACGTGAGTGAATTTTATTAACGGGGAAAGTTTATTGTAATTTATTATATTAGTTAGCATCAAGTTCAAGCCTGCCGGCTCGAGTTACGCCTTAAATGATGGAAGATTCCCAGCTAGAGAGGGTAAGGTGTTGCTTCTTGTCCCAGATGAACAATTTATATTCCGCCTTCAACATTGTTTCCGGAAACAAGGGTTATTAAATTAATGTCACGGTTCGAACGAAACCGTTGTTTGTTATTCGTGCGAAACTTTTCGTCCATTCTTTGATTCGCGCGATGTCCTCCATTTTTTTTTTCTTTTCTTTTCTTTTTGGAAAAATAACTTTTCGAAAAAGGTGTATTCCGTCCGTAATTTTAATTAACGCCGTGCAAAATTTCCGTTTCAAACAACATTGTGCAAACAAACAAAAGTTCGCAAGTAATTTAACCGGACGGAATTAGATAAATCATCCCCCATCCTCAATTTCTTTCTCGCGTTTTTATCCCGCGCAATTATCCATCTTTCCCTTCGTTCGTTTCGACGCCCAGTTTCCTGTGGTCAGTCATCGGTGGAACGAATAATAATAAGAAGAATTTAACCTGCTCCTTTTTTTTAATTTAATCGACCGAGTTTTATTAAGCGTTTTATTTCGGCCAAGCGGTTGGATAAAAATAAAACGGAACCCGGCCGACCAGCAAAGTGTAAACACCAAATTCAGACCGCGACACCTGCTACTTAACACTTTCGACAGCCACCCTCTCTCACCGTAGGCGAAACATAAATTATTCATTCGACGCGACACGAAACACCTTACAACTTGCCAAGAAGAGAGAGTCTTCATCCTTGCTCCCCGAAACAGGAAAAATGAAAGATGTATTAAAGGATCGTCGGATCGTGTCCCGATACCGTCGCGAAATTTCAAATAGAATTATTAACTTTCCTCTAACCTCTTCTGGTTCGGTTACTCAGCTCCTCCTTCCTTTCTCAAAATCAAATGGTGAATTTGTAACTTGTTAACCGCGGTGAAATTTCAACTTTCTCGCCCTGGAACGGGCCCCAACGTTTTCTTTCTCAACGAGAGCCGTCCGTTATTCGAAAAGGAATTTATTTTTCACGTGTCGAAAAATTAGAAGAACCTCGAAGAAAGCAGCTTTCCGTAACGAGATCATTTTCAAAAAAGATATCTTCCCGTTATTCGATCGAGAAAATTTATTTTTCGAAAAATTATATTTTTACACGGAATGAGATGAAAGCTTTCTAAGCAAAAATTCTAAGGAGACTGTTGAAAAACACAAAGGGTATTCCAGATAGAGGGTAAGGAAAGGGGCAGGTTTTCGGTAATCATTTTCAAAAAAATATCTTTCCGTCATTCGATCGAGAGGAAAGAAAATTTATTTATTTCTCGCAATATCGAAAAATTAATCCTTGGAAAACGCACAGCATCCACATGGCGGGTAAGGAAAGGGGCAAGCTTTCTGTAGCGAGATCATTTTCAAAAAAATATCTTCCGTTATTCGATCGAGAGGAAAGAAAATATTTTTTGCAATATTGGAAAATTGAAAAATTAATCCTTGGAAAACGCACAGCATCCCCATGGTGGATAAGGAAAGGAGTTTTTTGTAATGAAATCATTTTCGAGAAATATCTTTCCGTTATTCGATCGAGAGGAAAGAAAATTTATTTTTTCCAATAATCGACAAAAATTCGTCTGTTCGACCCTAAGAAAAACCTTGGGAAGAAAACGCAAAGGGTGCGCACAGCGTTACCATCTATCACGGGTGGATGGTGAGCAACTTCTCAACGAACGCCTTGTAAAATTTGTAAAGTTTCACGACTCGCCGGTGAAAGTGGCTGGCTTTCTCCAACGCGAAACGATTATTCGAAACCAAAAAATTTATATTTCGCAATATCGGAAAATCGCATTTTTCTATTTTCACACGAGATGAGAATAAAAGCTTAAATAACCCCGTCGACAAAGCTCTCCTCAGAACAACGATCCTCGAAATGCGGGATGCGCCCGCAGAGATCCCTCCCCCACTGGGTGGGTAAGCAGCAACTTCTTAACGAGTAAAAATAAGTTTGGACGAAACGTTAATGCAGCCTCTTGCGGCTGCGTATGAATAATTTATGTCCACCGCGCGGAGGACGAGAGTGGCTCGGTAGCAGGTGTTGTTTGCCGGAACTAGCTGTTCGTCCGACTGTACTTCTATTTCCCTCCCCCTCCTCCTTTACACACGCGCACAGAGGTACGCCATCTTTGCCGCTGCATCTGTCGACGTTGTATAATACGTTAATAAACGCTGGTAACAACAGGTACCAGCAGGGGGGAGAGAGAGGAGGGGGTTGCATTCGGTGGCCAACTTTAGCCAACCAACTTGTGCACTTCGTTACAAATGTCGCGCTAATGCGCCTTCTGCGAAATATATACACGCGACAACACTCCTCCACGATCCTTTAACGAATCTGTCTTCGACAGGAGACGAGACGATCACGCAAAAATTACACGGATATTATTCTTTCGAACGAATTCTTGCTCCTCGTCGAAGATGTGACCTCTGAATTTCTGAAAAACTTCTTCTTTCCTTTATTTTAATGCAGCGGATAAATGCGTGATAATAGCATGTTCTAACACGTTCGAGAAACCTTTCACGAGTCGAATTTTTCAATGCAATGCATCTCTTTATCCTCGAGCTGCTAACACGTGCTATTTCTTTTTTTTTTTCTTTCTTTCTTTTTTTTTCAAAAAATTTTCTTTCGTCGAATCGAATTGCGCGCAGCTTCTCGATCGTTCGCAGCATTCGTCTTGGAGCATTGGTCCGAGTTGGTTTCAACATTGAAAATTAGTGGAGGAAACGGTTCGATGAATCGGCAAGCGGCCGATAGTTAAATTTCAGAAAGATGGGGATCGGGTGGATAACGTTATCGGGCGGGCAAACGTTCATTGGCCACGTTCATCCGTCACGTTAGCTATTCTTCGACCTAGATACCTATCGTATTATGCAGTATGCTAATGAACATCTATTATCGCAACCTGGTTGTACCAACACCGGGTCGGGACAACTACACGCTCCAATAACACAAACAATCCTGACAACGCCAGCTTTCATCGATAACCACCTCCGATCCCGTTTCCCTAACGTTCCAATAACTTTCCGCCCAAATCTTTTTCATACATCGAATTTCTATCCATCTCGATTGTAAAAACATTTTCGACCGCGATAAAAATGCTCTGCGAAATGAGTGCTGCGAAAGGGGAATTTTAATCAACCTTTAAAAAGAAACGATCGTGTCGCAACAGTATAAGAGAAATGTGTCGATCGTAGCGACGAAAAACAAAATAATTTCTTCTCGAATGGAAAGAAGAGCCGACGATATTTTTTTCTCCAATTAGATATTCCATTCTTCTCGATCCGTTGTTCGTCGCAACGTAATATATTATATTCGGCGAAATCGAATTGATCCCTGCCGGATTTCGGAGGACGGGCGAATGATTTATTTTCCGCCCGTCGGTGGGTGGAACATCAAACGCGCGCGAGAAATCAAAACGACGGAAGTGGGGGGACAATGGACCCGATCGGCCGACGAATCCGTCCAAATTCCCCCTCTCCTCGACCCAACACACGCGTGATCCACAATATTTTGCGCGATGCACAAACGCGCGTTTATTTTCACTATTTTTTCTTTTTTTTTTTGCAACATCATATAACATTTGCACGTTCGTTTTACTACAAGTGGAACAGAACAATCGTTGCGACGACGTAGTAGTATGGATCGGTTTCGATCGGACGGACGTGCAGAACTGTTGGAAGAAAGAAATAAAATCGTTCTCTGTTTCGGGTAAGTGTAGAAAGTGCACCTCTCTCGTCTTTTCGCGTAATTAGCTATATTTATATGGAGAGGATTTTGCGATGATTTCGATAGAAATTGGGGAAGGAGAAAATCGTGAGCCAATTTGAACAAGTGAATCTGAAAATATATATTTCGAAATATATTAATCTGAAAGGATATTGATGATGAAACCGTGAGTGAATTTTTCTCTTCCTCGTGTATGTAATTCCAGAAAGAATGACTAACAAGCGGAATAAGGATTGAAAGTTGAGCGCGTGCAATTAGAAATTCTACAATTTGCTTGGAGTAACCGCGCAAGTGAAATATCAAAGAAAAACTAGGTAGCGAGGGTGGGGCCGCCATCTTCTAAAAACGACAAGGAATCTAGAGGCTGCGTTGCTTTCGCAAGCAATCTACGAGAAGCTTGCCTATCAGTTAAGGCTTCAAGTTATGCAAATTACACTCCTCTGTACATACTTAGAGGGCTAGAAGGGAGGAGAGAGCTTTCCGTTTACATTTCCAACGTAGCCGGAAGAAACTTCGCCGCGAGCTCGCTTCTTATTTCGAAATCGCTTCTCCTCCCCTCCTCCTCCTCCTCCTTCTCCGGTAAACTGATCAAATTACGGTTGCATCAATATTTCAACAACGGTCTGGAATGCGCGATACATAAATTTACAAGCGTTTCCGCCGACGACTCTTTCCTTCCTTTTCTCTTTTATTTTCTCTCTTTTTCTTTTTTTGGTCTTTTTTTAGTTTCTCTACCTCTCCTCTCCTTATCTTTTCGCTTCTCTATTTCTTCCTTTCGTCCTTTCATCCTCCTGATTCTTCTTTTTCCTCTAGTCTCTTTATTTCCTCGCTTCTTTTTATTCCATCTCTCCAGTTTTTCTACTTTTTTACTTTTTTTTAATTTCGTCTCCTCAGTTTCCCCGTTCCTTCCTACTTCTCTAATTTCTCTATTTTTTCCTTTTTCTATTCCTTCGTTCATCGAATTTCATCGAATTATTTCTTTTTTTTTTCCTCTTTTTGTTTCGTTTTCTCCGATTCATTCCTTCCATCCTTTTTCGTTCGTTTCACGTTCTTGATTTCTTTATTTCCCTCCTCTTTTTTTTTTTTTATTTCTTCGTTTCCCAGAACCAGGGACCACCATTTCAAATTCTTTCGAATACGAGCACACGAATTCGTGAATAATGGCGGGCACTGGTGTGGCCAGAGGCAGCTGGAGCGAAATTTTTATTGAAACAACGAGAACGTCAAATATTTGTGACGCGATGTTTCGTGGCGAGAACGTCACTTTTTACCGTGATTTATGACCCCCGTCCAGCCATCATTTGTTCCCTCCACACCGCCGACTCCATTGTCCCCCCAATTTCTTCTTTCTTTCTATTTTTAAACCGCCGAGAGAGAAAAAATTTTCGACCCGTGCTTCTAACGCGATTTCTCAGCAAACGCTCCTTCCTCTCCCCGACGTTCTGCCGTTGAATAATAATGACAAACGCCCGATCGAATTATCGAAACACGAATGACGAAAGAACATAAGTTACGATATTTTCTTCTGAAGTTATTATATTCGAATAATCCAAACAAATTGTCCATCATCGTGCACGTCTCCTACCCCTCCATCATTCGCTTCAACTTCACTCTCCCTCTTCGATCCTCCACTGAACGAAAGAGGTGGGAAAGAAGGAGTTGGAAAGAAGCTGAAAGAAACAATAAATACGATCGAAACGAAACGAATTAAACGAGATTGCTGTTTCCTCGAAGAAGAAGAAGAAGGAGAAGAAGGAGGAAGGAGGAGAGGAAGAAGAAAGAGGTTGGCCGGAAGATGGGCGGAAAAGCCCTCGTCCTCGATTCGTTCCAAGTTGAATTCGAGGGACGTAGTCAAACGGCAACTTTCTTCCAACGGTCTTTGCAACGGAATTAAAGAAAATACGACTCGGCTGAAATGTTAATGAGTTCCTCTCGGCCCTTCCTTTGAACTCCTTAACCGTGCCGCTCCTCCCCGCGATCGAACTTCCACGACTTGTTTATTACTATCAGAGGGAGAGGGGGGGGGGGGATCCGAAACGATAATACGACGATTCTTCGATCAGCTACGGTTCATTCATTATTCCGTGTTTACTGTTCGCGAAACGAATTGACGACGAGTTTCGTGAATCACTCGTGCTTTTTAATAAAACTCGGCCTGTTTGACGAGGACATTTTTTGGAGGACGGTACCTTTGGAGAGGCGGATGGAAATCGGTTTTATTATCGCAAAAGTTTCGTTCGTTATACATTGGATAAATTTATATTATATTAATTTAATGATAAATTAATATGTCATGATAATTTTTTATAACGATTTATTTGAATAATTTATTTGAATATATTATTACGGAAAATTATAAAATTAACGAGTAGCGGCTCTGTTCCACTAACTTCGTTCTGCATTTCGTTCTCTGTCTCTTTTGTAATTTAATAAATATCAATTGCAACTTTTGTTCCTTCTTTTTTTCCTTGCTCTCGAAAATCGTTCGTCCAAACGATGGGGAAAGATATAATCCAGGTAACGACGATCCTGAGTTGAGTTCGAAAAATTTTTAAGACAACAAATCTTTTCTTTTTTTTTTTTTTTTTTTTGGAATGCAATCAACAATATAATTTAATAGATCAACAATAAATCGGGCAAGGTTGAATTAATCGGTAAAAATAGAGAGCAATCAAGATCGGGAAGCGATATTAAGGGAAGCGATTAATTTTTTTCATACTCGCCGTGATATTTCATCCCATAAAGGGATAAGTATAAAAAAATTCCAATGTTAATTCTGGACACGTTTTGAAAAATTACTCTCCGCCCCGCCCCCCTCCCCGCCCCCCCTCTCTGCTTAATACGTTAAAAATCTCTCGAGATTTAAACGTGTCCTCTTCAAATGGATTGTAAAATAGAGGAAAGTTAATTTTCCCCGGCTACCACCGGGGAAATCGGTCCTTCTATTTCCGCCGTTAATGCAATATTTTTAATAGACAGCGAGGAACATTTAACTACGTGAACGCTTATGAAACTGTGGGGTGGGGGGGGAGGGGAAAAATTGCGCGTAGAATTCGTCGAAATCAGCAAGGATATTGCGCAACTTTATTACTTTTACGATTGCATATTCGTCCTTCGCTTTCTTCTCTCTCTCTCTCTCTCTCTCTCTCTCTCCTCCTCCTCTTCTTCGATGCATTTCTATTCTATTCTTGCCAAAAAAAGATACATATATATATAGAATTAAAATAAAACCGATACTTTTCTCTGCCAATACTTTTAAACAACAATTGATTAGAGATTAATATAAATGTCTCGATAATTAAATAATTGGTTCGTAATATTATTATTAATTATTATTATTATTATTGTTATTGTCGCGTTAAATTGCGTCACGAGGGGAGAAAAGAGGGGGGGGGGAAAGGGAGAAAAGAAGAAGAGGAAAGAGGATATTCGAATTCACGAACTGTTCTCCCGAATTCGTTTGAAATATATGCGCTCGGCGGGGCACACGCCACCCACGTGGCCCTCGTATTTTTACATTTATATTACGTTCATACTTCTTGGCTCGCGCGGCCGAACATTAATTCACAGCTGTACCAGCCGCGCCGCACCGTTGAACCGGCGCATCCATCACTGTCCATTACGGGACAGACAATCGTCTTGGCGTGGCCAGGTTAGGGCGCGAATACATTTCTAGGGCGAAACTCTCGAGGGTATATTTCCAGTAGTATTCGCGGCTGAATTCCCGTGTAAACCGTTGGATACGATAGCAGCCATTGGTCGCTGAAATAAATAAATAAATTGTTATATATGGGTATATAAAAATTTTCATTGAAACTTTATCTATAATTTTATTATTGAAGCAGTTGCTAGCTTGTGTTACTATTCTGTGATTGGTATCCTTTTGTATAACCAAAAATATATCCATTCAGCTAAATCAGTATATTTCTATTATTTATCGTTCTGCATGAATAACCGGCCAGCATGAATAAATCTAGGAATGCAATTCTAGGGAATTTTAATTTTTTAATTTCAAAATCGAAAATGCGTTTGCATCTTTCGAAGATCAATATAATATGTTCTCTCTCTTTAAGATAGGTTAGAGATCTTAGAGATAGAGTATGCATTTTTTCAAAAACTGCATTCTTATCTATCGTATCGATTGGGAAATGCGCAACCCTCGCAATGACTTATTTTTTCTTCTTTTTTCCTCCGTGTCCCGGGAGGATCTCACGTATCACCGACCGATTTCACGGGTCCGTGATTCTGTCATCTAAATTCCAGTACCGGTACCAATACTCTTTTCTCCCCTCCTTCTATTCTTCCTCCATCCCGCCACTTGTTTCTACATTTTTCTTGTCTCCTTCCGCATTTCTTATTTCTTCTCTTCCACGAGATTCGCTTTTCTTTTTCATTCCAGCCTTCTTTTGCTTCTTTCATACTCGTTTCATCTTCGTCTCGTGCATGTTTAATTCTTCTTCCTCCTCTCCTCCTTCTTCCCCTATCTCTTGTTTCGTTTTTGCTCTAGCATTCTCCCTTCCTTTTCATTTTTCTTCGTATTTTTCTTCGTATTTTTTCCTCTTCGTTTCGTTGATTCTTCCTTCCCCCTTCCCTTCTTTTCCCAATTTTATTTTCTTGCATCCTCTCCCCTTTATTCCTTTGCTCCGACATTCTTTCTTCCTTATCCTTTCCTCCTCCTCCTCTTCTTCTTCTTCTTCTTTTTTTCTCCTATTTTTCCCATCCCTTTGTCCCTTTTTGCCCCTTTTTGTTCCTATCTATTTTCTCCTCTTGACTTCTGCAAATTCTCGTGTTCGCCTCGAATTCACCCCAGAGTTCATCCCTCCCCCGTGGATTCTCTCTTCATCCCTCGCTCTTCGTTGCGGCGGAGCCACCGCGTAACCATTGTCCCATGAAATTGGACGTCATTCACGTACAGGATGTCCATGACTCTTTCACAGGCCGCGCGTCGCACCCGTGCAACGATCAGGAAGCAGAAACTACGCGTACGCGTGTCCGATGATTTTTAACACCGAGATCCGCCTCTCCATCCTACGCGTGACAGGATTAAACGGGGGGAGGGATTAAAAAACGAACGGTAATAGAATTGTCCCAAAAACGGGAATACACACGTTCCGTGTGCATTCGTTACATTTATAATATGGTTTTTAATTGCTCGTGTATATATTCAGTCATATCATATCTGATTAGAGACTTGTTTTATTGAAAAAAGTAATTACATTTTTAAAATCGGAGATAATTTCGATAATGCCCATCTCTTTTTCCGTATCTCAAAATGTTTTGTAATTTATTGTATTAATATATTTGGCAAATTAAAAGTTAAACGAAAAGTTGAAACGAGTTATTAAGTTGAGACGATTTCAATCGACGATTCGACGAGAAACGTAAGAATAAGCTTTTATTTAACCAGAGAGAGATTTAATTGATCAGGATTATTTGATGAACAAGATCGAATCATATTATATATTTTCTAAATCATATTATATATTTTAAAAGAAGAGATTTGAGAAAAAAAGTTAAATTTATTATCCTTAATAATTTTGACAAGATGAAGAAATTATTTCCTCGTTAAATAAATACGTTTTTACTCGATTCTAAAGATTATCATATATCGGAGGAACGGCATGTGACAGGCTGGCAATCGTACACATGACAAATCATACGAACGATTTCTTTTCTGTCACACGGAATCGGCCTTCCACCTGTTTTTTCGCTCGTGAAATGAGTAACGAGCGTTCCGCCGAGGCGAAACGATCGATTTGTCTCCGGCAAATTTCTTTCCCTTCGTTTCTCCGTCGAGTCGAAATCGGGGCAATAAGAGAGCACGTAAGAAATTTTTCATCATTCACGACACGAAATCTTATCTCTTCGAATTAATCCAATTACGGAAATTATATTTCCAATTTCTTCCTTCCTTTCTTTGACTTTCGATCGACCAAGAAAAATTATTCATACACTTTACACTTTTCATTTATTTATTTATTTATTTATTATATCATTCCCCAAATAAAATCCTCCCTCCTCACTTTCCAGAACACTTCCCAGAATTTCGCGTCGCCAAAATTTTTTCCATATTCTCTCCTATTCGGATAAATTTGTACCGCATCTCTTCGTATTATTATTTCCATCGTTTCCAGGGATCGTAAACAGAGTGTGGAGTGTAGAGGGAGGGGAGAGCGTTCGTGTTTTCACAAGCTCGTTTCGGGGCGGGAAATATTCAGCTACTTCGGTATTTCATAAATTGTTGTCCAGCGTGGAAATGTCGCGATTCCCCTTCGAAATTTGTGCCCCCAAGTGTCGAACGAAACACGGCCGATGACGAATCATTTCGACGAGACCCTCCCCTCCTCCGCTCCTACGTCGTCACTTCGCTCGCTGTGATACCCGAACGACGATCGTTGGACCGCAAGATGGCGATACGAAACAGTGCATCGTTCGATAAAGAAGAGGGAAGGAAGAAAGGGAGGAAGGATATTCCGAACGACTATTTCCAACGATTTGGAATAACCAAAAATATTCGATCGAATGAAATCGTCTCGACGAAATTGCAATCTTCGGGAAAATGAAAAAAATCGATCGAATTATAATAATCGTTAAATCCGTCTCCGATTTAAAAAGTTTCAAACTTTAGAGGTAGAGGTGGAAAAAAAAAAAAATCACCACGTGATGCTTGATAACGATAACCGCGCAATGATTAAAACGGT